GAATCAGTAAAGGATTTGCTTCTAACTGTATTTTCAACGGCAGGGACTGGGAAGGCGGCTTGATTTTGGCTTCAGTGTGAAAATTGATCCGGTATGAAAATCAATCCGGTATAATGTAATCCCAGCCTCAATCTCGGTGTTGTTAATTTTCTTATGCAATCTATTCGTTTTGTCTGCTATATGTATCGCGATATTAATAATGTTTAATGTTAAGAGCGACTGTCCGTAAAAATCGAGCAAAATTTGAATTCTGCGGCAATACACGAAAAATAGATTTTGTTCATATTTTGCTCAAATTAAGGTAATACCTAGTTATAAATGGTGTTTGGGTTAGATTTTCAATATTTGGTCGATAAACGTACAAATATCAGAAATCAAGAATTTGTCTCCAGGAGGCTATAATTAGCCGCAGACAAAGCCAGTTTCATCACTTCGCGACGGATTCAAAACTGCCCGTAGATAGTTTTGATGGTATAATGACTATAATTCAAGTATTAAAGAACAATTTTATCAATATGGAATGGCCCAGGATGCTTTAGCTGGCCTGACAGACGTTGTTGAAATTGGCTATTTTTAGTCAAATTTGAGAATTGCATTTTGTCACTGGATTTGAAGGGGAAATTTACTATGTGCGATAATCGTGAATTTGTTTATATTTTATCCACGGAATAGTATAGCATGAGTACATGTTATATATAAAAACTAGCTTGGGTTATTGCCTCGGAGCCTCACGCGAGACTTTTAAAAAAGCTCATTTTGGTGATTTTCAGTGGAATGTAACACAATTAAATCATTAGGCCCATATAACCTTTTGAGAGTTAGACCGGCTGCCGGTAATATAGTTACTTTGTTTTTATTTCGTTTCCAAAATTTGAGCTCTTTTCACTTTTATTGAATCGTTGAAAAGAATTTTTGCCCTCCGGAATTTTTATCCAAGCAGGAATAGTTTGCTATAGTTCGCGTATTCACTAAACGCTTGGTACCTAGTTTACCTTTTAGAACGCGAAGCATCGCGGGATAGCGTCGTTTTACATTAGGTGAAATATTTTACAATATGGAGCGCCTTCAAGGTAATTTAAATGGCAAATAACGATGGGAAAAGCATCAGAAAGTCGTTGAAATGTTGTTCAGATACCATAGGTAAGAATAATTGTATATTTGACTTGTTATTTAATTAAACAGATTCATTGCGAAATAATGTAGTGATTATGACTGCACTGTTAATTTCAAGGAGTTATTTTAACTCCACCATAGGAGTTAAAACTACTCAACTCGGGAGAGTAAAAATAGTGGAGTAAAATCTACTCCCAAAATAGAGTTAAAACTACTCCACTTCGGCGCGCATTCCACAATTTACTCCATCAGGAGTCAATTTAACTCCGCTGGAGGAGTAAACTAAACTCGCTTTTAGGAGTAGAAATTATGGAGTAATTTGTACTTCTTAATTTTACTCCAGGGGTCGTTTCAACTCTCAAAAAAGAGTAAAATTGTTCTGGACCTGGAGTAAATTATTACAATATATAATTAATGTGCCTGAGAATCCAAGAGTTTTTCTGCTGGAGGCTATACTCTATTAAAGTATTGAATACAGTCAGATGCGAAAAGCACGAAGTTCGAGATATAAAGTTGTTTTTTTTTAATTTTCCGTTTTTGGTTACTCGAATGTTGCTAAGTCAGATTGATGCCATTGATGTATTATACTGTATATCGGCTTCCGTCACACGCGGCGATCGAATGTAGCCAGAAATTGTCAGCGAGTCATCTATATTTTTTTATTTGCTGCCTAAATCTGTAATTGGAGCGTGTGGAATGTTCTCCTGCTGAATTCTGCTGAATATAATTTGCGACAAGTGGAAGTTCCAGATTTTCAACCAATTAGCATGTTTAGAATATATCACGTGTTGTAGTAATTCGATCTGGTTCACACAAACAAAGACCAAGCGCCAAGTTCAATCCTTCGGGAGCAAACATTCAAATTTGAATGATATTTATTCAAATTTTCTACTTATAAAGTTGCAAAGACCTAATAAGATACATGGAATTTGTTTTCAAAGGTATGTTTATTGTGTATTTACTTATTTGTGTGCGGAAAGTTACTTGATATACTGTATAGTTATATTTTAAATCGAAGACGAAGGCCTGTATTTTAGTCGCTTCGCCGCCGATTTGCCGATCTAGACGTTCAGTTTTAACTTTCGATTAATTTGTATTAGCAGAAGTCCATAAGTCTAATCTACAGTCTCTACTTATATGTGTTGTTAGCCCCGTTTACACGAGCAAATTTTATTTGACAAATTTCATTTCATCAAAAGCATTTGTTGTTCAAATAAATTTGTCACAAATTTACACGAGCAAAATATCTCTGACATATGAAATTTGTCAAATAAAATTTGCTCGTGTAAACGGGGCTTTATTTGTGTGATATACATGTATGTTGTATTTCGTGTTAAATATGTATACTTTAATTAATATATATGTGATCTGTTTGAAATGCAATCACATTTGACAGCATTGCAATAGCCCATCTAATATTACCCAGTGTATGGCTTGTGCTTGCTATGGTAGCCCTCCTATCGGCTATCAGTCAGCCTAAAACATGTGTAGGGGCTGCTTATATAGAGGCGAGCCGCCCAGGTAACCTGGCTATAGCTCGCTTTCCCTGGATGAATGTCTGGTTACATGAGCCTCTTTAGATGGGCAGGCTTGCCAAAACAAATCACCCAGACTGAGTTATATAGTACAAGCACATTTCCCAATAAAGTGAACCAACAAGTGATCAATCACTCATACTTTTGCAGACAGTCTCGAAATGTATAACCTGACAAAAACAATCACAGAGATCTTTTTACCCAGCTGGGCCCAGGGGTAATACCGTGCCAAATCGTGGGTGATTGTATATAATTTATATGGAAAATCCTAGCTTGGCATTAGCAAGATTTTGGGACAATGAATTTTGGGTCAATTATGCACTTCTATTTTAAATACCCTTTACCAGAAAAGTTGTATTCATTTGGATGATGTTAGTTCAATTGCATGCTTACATTAAATGAGTAAAAGCATTTGAATTTTGTATTTCTTGCTTTGTATGTATACAAACAACCAAAAATAGCAAATTCATTGTCAATCAATCAATAATTTTTATTTTGTGTGTATTGGTGTTGTGTACTCAGGTGAATATATGATGTTTGTGATGTTACTGTGAGTGTGCATCCACACCGGGCAAGCTGAAAAGTTAGCTTGGCCACAGTGGGAATCGAACCAGTGACCGTGGCCAAGCTAACTTTTCAGCTTGCCCAGTGTGGATGCACACTCAGTGAGAGTCAGTGGCGTAGCCAGCCCGACAATTTAGTCCCGCTATGCAAATTCAAAATTATCATCATTATTCATTTCTCTAGAAATTTATTGTTTTCACAGTCAATGAACATGAAAATATTTGCATAGCGGGACCAAATAGTCGGGCTGGCTACGCTACTGGTGAGAGTAACATCACAAACATAATATATTCACCTGAGTACATGACACCAACACACACAAAATAATCGTATCATTGAATACCACTGTACACTGATATCGAAGGAACTAGACTCAGTTCCAAAATATCATCAACTCGAACAGACTTGACCATGTAGCTCAGTTGGCAGAGCATTGAACTAGTATCCCAAAGGCCGTAGGTTCGATTCCCACCGTGCCCAAACTAACTTCTCAGCTTGCCCGGTGTGCATGCACACTCAGAGTAACATCACAAACATCAATCAATAATTTGCTGCTGTTATATATCAACCTTATATATTTTTTTCTTACTAGGGATTCTCATTAATATATGGATTTAACAAAAGCTTCCCAGGAGAAGGCAAGTTGTCAAAACAAGTGGTATTATGTGTAATCATTAATGGCATTCTAAGAACTTCATGGTGTATTTGGAAAATGTTATTCTTTTGCTGGAGAGCATTTTTGTGAATTACCAAACCATGCAAGGGATGGAGTTGCCGACTTGTGGTATACAGCTTGTTTTGTACTAAATTTTTACTAATGGACTTGCTTGACATGTTTGATTGAGAAGTGACACTACATACATTTAATACATGCAGTATATTTTACTTGAATGTAAAGATTCTACATTGAACAGAATATTATCCCTTTAAGTAAAAGTTTTACTTTTTTATTTTTTCTGTCAAATGTGGTCAGACAATTTTTGCTCATTAAGGAGAGAGTGCTGCCACTTAAAGTGCCTATATCACTTGTGGGATATTTACGGATTTGGAAAAGCACAAAAAGTTAGTTTGTAAGTTCTTCAACCTTTTTTGATTTGGTTCAGTATTTTCCGAGATATTGACCCTCAAACATGACAATTTTCAAAAAAATCCGTCGTGCTTGGGGGCCTGGGACTCAGGAACGCGAGCGTAAACAAACACTATAGTGTGTTTTCACGCGAACCGCTGTGACGTCACTAGAATTTAGCGTCCGCCATGTTGGTGGAGTAAAACGCGTCACGTGCGAGGAATTTACTAGTGTTTACTATAGCTGTGCCAAATCTGTTCGAAATATTCCCCAATATGCCGGCTTTTTGTGTAGTTTTAAACAGTTCAAATGACAAACCTAAAACGTAAAGATCTTTCTTTCTGCCGGGTGCCGAAAGTTATTAAAAATCAAGGCGAGGAAATGGAGATTTTGTGAACCAAACGCAGGCGAAGAATCGACGAAGATGGCTGTCGGCCATATTAAATTGGAGTCGCCGGAGAATACAGAAGAAATGGTCAAAGAGAAGTTACAGAGAGTAAACGAACCTGGCAAGGTTGTTAAATGTTTATTTGATCCTATGACTATGGACGATATCGCAGACAATTTTCCAGAAAACTTGAGAAACGCCGGCCATACAGCAATTTTCGTCCAAGCACAAACCGCAAACATTTTCGCGCGTTTGTTTACGTTTGAAACGTGGCGTTTACCGTTGGAAACGGAATGTTTCACTGCTCATGTGACGAGTTATAGTGAAAAGCCTAATTCAGTTATTTTTCATGTTTTGATGTGCTTTCGTGTACTTTTCAGTATTTCCAAGCTCACGATATTGTAAGAGCGACCAAACTTGTTTATATTCATACTTTTTGTGACTAAAACGTATTATCATGGGCTTGGAAATATTGAAACGTGCACGGAAGCACGTCAAAACATGACAGTTGCGCCAAAAATAGCTTAAGGCTTTTCAATGTGACACGTCACATGAGCGGTGAAACATTTCAGTTTCCAACGGTAAACGCCCCGTTTCAAACGTAAACAAACGCGCGAAAATGTTTGCGGTTTGTGCTTGGACGAAAATGGCTGTAAGCCCATAACACAAACAGACGTTTCAACCACAACAGTTGGCATTCAGACAAGCGAGTGTCATAATTCTATGCTTCAATCCGAGTTTTAATTTCTGGGTAAACCATGTTCTGCTGACTTTTATTGATAGACAAACTAATCTCCTTGCAAGGGCACAGACGTTTTCAAGTTACAAGCATCATAACACTGTTAAAGTGTTAATTGGAATTCAGTGAAGCTTGGGGAGAGAGGAATTCAGATAAGTTTCTGACTGAGAACTGTGGCTTACTGGACAACCTTATACCAGGTGATTTGGTTCTGGCGGATAGCGGTTTCACTGTCCATGAAAGTGTTCAGTTTCACCAAGCCAAATTGAACATTCCGGCATTCACAAAAGGAAAAGACCAACTTGATTCTGTTGATGTGGAACAGACAAGAAAGATTGCTACTGTCCGGATACATGTCGAAAGAATTATTGGTTTACTGAGACCGAAATATACCATTCTTCAACAAACTTTGCCAACTGAATGAACTGATTAATACCTTATTTGCAGAAAAGGAGAATCTGTTCCTCTCATTGACAGAATGATTCCAGTTTGCTCTGCACTATTAAACCTTTGCCCTCATACTATATATCTTTTGATTGAAGTAAAATATTTTACAACATTATGTTTTCACCAAGACACACATTCTTTCAACATTTGAAAATTTGGTGGTCAAGTCTGAGAACCTCCTCATGGTGACCACTGGGCAACAGCATGTTGTGTAAATCAGGGGTGGATTAGTAAGCTACTTTAATTGTACTTCGTCAAAAAGAGACCCCTTTGCAGCTGCAAAGTAAAAAATCTACCCCTGTTTGTTTCACGACATGCTGGCTAATCTCAGCAATATTTCATGCTATTCTCGTGGGGGCTTGTGATATGGGGAATAAATACGTCATCACTGTTTCAACTAGGCCTGTTTGAATACCATGAGCATTGAAACAATGTAAAAACCATGTCTGTTGGGACTGTATTATTGGTGGGGGTTAACTAATTGATTCGGCCACCCAAAGACTTGGGGTAGGCCAGGGCAGTAAACTATTTTAGGGTCCCATAGATATGATTTGACAAAGCCATATTTTGTGTAAAGTGCTGAGATTAGCCAAAAGGTTGTGCAAAAGTTTGCAATCACACAGGGGTAGATTAACACTTTAACAGACCAACATATGACATTGTACAAATAATATGCAAAATAAAATGTTGTCCAGTTAAACAATATACATGTAGGGGTCCTGGTATGCTAATCCGCCCTGTGTTTACACATGCTGTTGCCCAGTGGTCACCAATGACTCACCATGTGGAGGTTCTCAGTCTTGACCACCAAAAATGTTTAATGTTTATCAAAGTCTTAAGTCTGTAATAATTTTCAAATGCAAAAAGTTTGTATCTTTGATAGAGTTTTATGTATAATAATTTTAACAGTTACTAGTCAATAAAAATGCAAACTGAATATTGGTGTAAGCTTTTTTATTTTGTGCTCTCAGCCGTCGGAAAAAGAGTAATGAGACCAGCTTTCAGGCAAGCATACAAGTAAGTTCGCATCTGTATTAATACAAACAAGACTTGTCGCAAAAGCGATTGCAAATACACCACAATCTGAATCATTTGATATATGATTAATCATTTGAAATACACCACAATCTGTATTCGAGAGATTTTGCATGTTCAGACAAAGGAATCTCATGAATAATTACTTTTTCTGCCTCGCTGTTTACGTTTAGTTTCGAATCGCTGGCCGCCATGTTGGAACTTCACTCCACCAACATGGCGGCGTATAAAATTAATTTATGCCGTGACGTCATGTGAAAACACACTATAGAATTGTATTATATTTTGACGCTGTAACTTACTAAAGTGAGAATTTTTGCAAGAAACGTCGGTTTATTAAGCTCAAAATCATCCTCTGGTACTGAAAAAAGTTCCTACGATTGCGCTGGATATAAAATTGAAGGTGAAACGTACAAAACCACTTCAAAATCAAATTTGAAAGTGCTCCTTCGTAGATGGCATCTAGCTTCGTCGAGCATGAAAATGTGTACACTGACGAAATATGGGCCAAAGAATACGTTTGAAAGTTGGAAGAATATAACAAGGAAATAAGGAAATTCATTTTCACATGAAACGGACCTTACATGTACAGTATATCGTGATAGTTCTTCGTATTAAAGTGAATATTATATTTTCTATATGTAAATGTTTTGCCATTTTAATACCATATTTTGAGTTGTCTTTCAGTAATTATGTTTTGCAGCTTGAATCATTGGGATATAAGAATTAAGTAAAGGAGGAGCTTTTTCGATTCTATTTTGTACTGTTGGAAATCACAATACATTTCATGATTCAATGATTGTATTAGCTTTATTGCTGCAATAGACCAATATATGAATACTTGGCTTGAATTTATGGCTTTGCTGTTATTAAATGGTAAAGCTCCCAACATTCCAACCCTTGCCAAACAACCTGAACTTGTGAGGGTTGGAGCCATGATGACATCTGCAAGGATCCAGGCCAGTTTATGTGTGCCTGGTTTGCAGGGCTGACCCTGTTTGAAAGGTCTTGTACAGATGAAAATTATTGAGTGGAAATTTATATACATTTATTAAATATCCCTCTATACAAGACCCTTCAACTATTATTGAATTGAGTGAGAAGCCAGGTTCCCGGGAGCACAACCTGGAGACAAAAATTTCCTTTATTAGTATTAGAGTATTTTTGTGCTAAATCTGAAATGTGCGTAAACTTATATAGTGTTCTAGCTGACCATGGTTTTAAATTCAAGGAATGTCTGTCAACCATATATTGTTGCACCCATAGTGGGACATGGGTGTTAAGGTTTCCTTCAAATGTTAATCAATAGCAAATCTTCATTCAAACAAATTTCCTGCAGCTGTTTAACATTTACTGCGCATGAGCAGTGCTCACCTATTTTTTCCACCCCTGTATATATTGGTTACAGCAAGCGCTGCACCGGAATTGCAGGGCAGGTTGGATTTCTGCCAGTGATCAGCAGTTGCATTTCGATTTTTCACAACTTTTCCTGGTTAGGTATAGTAAATGCATATAAACTTCTACTCGATAATTTCCATCTGTACAAGACCCTTCAACTATTATTCAGTTCTGTATAACCTGTCTTCCTAAGCTGTTCTTGTTTATCAAGTTTTTAAATAAACATTTTCCTGTACACAGTAGCATGAATTCAGTTTTTGTTTCATGAGTTTGACTCCTTTGTCTGTTGATTTAAAAAAAAAATAAACTAAGATATTATTTGTGCACTATGTGTGCTGTAACTTTATTAAATGCAAGTTAATGACAAAAAAATCAAGCATGCATTAATTAAAGTTGGACTATTAAAGCCAAATAGAATTTTTGGTTTGTGTGATATTTGGGTCAAAATTCTAATAAGAAATGTAATGTATCTTTATAGTAAAAATTCACCTAATGACATCATATCTTGAAACTTTGACAGTAAAAAGGTTGATGAAGAAGGGGATTTTTTTATTATAGAGATAACATTTCTTCGAACGAATGATACAGATATTGCACATACCAAAAATCATATTTGTGGTTAGTCGTGCTTTAAAATAATATTTCTTATTTCTCATTTTCCAAATATTCATATCCTTTCAAGTCATCACATGCATCTTTCCATTAAAAACTGCAGATAGTTTGATGAACAGAACACAATGGTATTATTTCATCTTTTTTACAACCATGAGCTAATCTGGCGAATCACATGTATGCCACTGATATAAAGACCTAAAAGTAGAGACATATACCTTAGACTTTAATAATGTATTCTTTAATCAAGTAAAGATGAGGCAAACCAGTGATCTGTTATACAGCTTATTCAAGAGTCAAGACACAGTAATCTGTGCAGCTCAAGCTTTGCCTTGACATTAGCAAGGTGCATTAACCTATTCCTATAATAAGCAGAAACTTTGCATGGTCCTATTAAACTGAATAAATCCAAAGTTACTCAAAAATTACTTCTCCTTTGAATCAGCTTATACCACATGTTTGTGCAATAAATCTTTTCAAATGATCAGATCAAAAGCAATTGAGGCAAACAGAATCAATTCCTGCATATTTTGTGAATAGCAAATCAAACCGGTTATCCCTCCCTTGTCTATATCAAATTTTATAGTGTTTTTCAATGGTTAAGCTATAATAGTATTGAATCTAAAATACACAATTTTTCGTTTGTTTACTTGCAGTCGCAGAATATTAATTGCCAAATGTGAATATCACACGATATTTACAAATGGAAAATATTCGATTCACTTACCGAGAACTAACACGATTATGCCCGTTCCATCTATAAATAATTTCTTTACATCCCTGTTATATTCTTCTAGCTTTCAAAACATATTCTTCCGTGTATGCCAACTCTTTCATGCTCGACAATTTAATAATATACAGCCAAATATGCTTGACGGCATTTAGGAAGGCTCACTTTCAAATTTGATTTTGAAGTCGTTTTGTTCGTTTCACCACGATTTTATATTTCGCGCAATCGTATATGAACTTTTGTCAGTACTGGAAGACGATTTTGAGTTAAATAAACCGAGTTTTCTTGCCAAAATGATCATTTTAGTAAGTTGTAGCGGCAATTTGTAATATAATTTATAGTGTTTGTTTACGCTCGCGTTCCTGAGTCCCAGGCCCCCAAGCAAAATTTAGTACGACGGATTTTTTTTCCAAAAAGGTCAAAATTGCCATGTTTGAGGGCCTATATCTCAGAAACTATTGACCTAAATAAAAAAAGGTTGAATAACTTGTTAAATAACTTTTTGCGCTCTTTTCAAATCCGTAAAGATCCCACAAGTGATATAGGCACTTTAATGGGTTAAAGCTTTTCTGTAAATGTAAATTTTTTGAACAATAACTATGTAATAGCCGGTACTGTGCTGGGAATGGAACCTGCTGCCCTACAGGTGATTCTGATCAGCTTTTTAACCGTCAAAGGTCCTGAAGCCCTAAGAGTCCATCGCCCTGACAGTCGATCAAGCTCTACTGTAACCAAGAGTTCATGTATATAATACCAGTGTCATCCTGGGCAGTTTATTTAATACACTACCAATGACACCACCATGGTATACATACAACAACTTGTGGTTACCTCTTGGCAAAAGGGCTCTTTAGGTCAGAGGGCTGCGGTAGAATTGCAGGGCTGCAGGTTCAATTCATGCTGACAGGCTTGTAATTGTATTGCACATGTATTCATGATATCATTCTAATCATGTATTCATGATATCATTCTAATCAATTTAGAACTTCATTAAAATATTATTGGGCGTAAGAGTATTTCATTATATTATGCTACAGCAAATTGTATTTCCTGCTATAATATACCTTACTTGTAGGGATAATAAATTATTTTGACTCGAAAAATGTCTTTATTGATTTCTAAAGTTAGTTAAAGACTTTTCTTTACTCCGATATATAGAAGTCATTTTGTCTCCAAAGGAGTCGACTTGACTCCAAAAATGGAGTAAATAAAAAAGGTACAGAACGACTCCTTTTTTGGAGTAAATTTTATTCCTTTATTTACTCCATTTTTGGTGTAAATTTTACTCCTTAAGTAGAGTTGTTTTTACTCTTTGAGGAGTAAAAACAACTCTACTTATGGAGTAAAATATACTCCAAAAATGGAGTAAATAAGGGAGTAAAATTTACTCCAAAAAAGGAGTCGTTCTGTACCTTTTTTATTTACTCCACTTTTGGAGTCAATTTGACTCCTCGAAATTAACAGTGTACTTTGTTCTGAATAGTTAACAGAGCGTTTGTACAACTCCCCCCCCGCCTGTACGCAAATTGCGTTGGGGATAAAATTTCCTCAACTGTCGACTTGACCTGACTATTATAAACGAGCTTTTCGAAGGTCCTCGCAATTACAGGTGTAATATTTATTCCACGAAAGTCACCATCTTCCTTTGGTAAATCAACCTTTGCAAGAGGGTTAATATTCGCTCTTTTCCATGAATCTGGCCAAGTATGTGATGAAAGGGACAAATACCAGACGTTAGTTATAACTTCGGTTAGAATTTCCGCATGATCATTCCAAACCCAATAGGGAATATAATCGGGACCTGTTGCTGTCCTCTTTATTCTTTTCAAGGCATTCCATACCTGCTGTTCCGTAAAGCTAGGAATATCTACTTCATCACCAATAATTGAGAGCGTCGGTTCGACATAACTATCATCGTGGCAGAGTTCGCCAAAGTAGCGATTTAATCTTGTAAGTGATGCATTATCTAAAGTAACTCTTGATGACGATGCATTTCGCTGAGAAATATCATTCGTCTTTCTCCACCAAGTTCTACTTCCCACCAAGGGCCTAAAATTTCTTCTGTTTTGCCAAATGACATCAGAAATCCTTTTGTTAATTAAACTGAGTCTATCCTTTTGCGACCGAGCAATTCTGGATTTAGATTTTAGCAAAGATTTAATTAAAGGACTCATCCAGTAAGGGTCACGTGACGAAATTGAGACTGTTTTTGTGGGCATACATTTATTCATATGATACATGATCTTACGTTCAAGACAATTCACAGCGTCATTTACATTCGTGGACTGCGATACATCCTCCCAATCTTCTTCTGCTAAAGCTTTGTGGAAATCTTCCTTTCGATGCTTTCTACAATCCCGAAATTCAACCTTTCGGCGCATAGGTTTTAGTTTCGTTCCTGCTGGTAAAATAACCCCCATGTGGTCTGTTTTAGTTAACATGTGGAAAGGATAACATTTTGAGAACAAATCTATTCTATTTGTAAGGCAGTTATCCAAACATGCGTTACCCCTTGTTGAAAAGTCGACCATTGCATCCCAACCTGATAGTTCCTCAAGGT